AAGATGTTCTTTAATCATGGGGCTATGTGAGGTTGATTAGGTTTGATTGCATGTTCCACTGGTATTATTGATCCACCGGAATGATTGATGTGCCTTGTCCTTGTCAGTGCCTCATCTTTGCTGTAATTGCATGAATTATCTGCCAGGGCCTCACACACCTTGTCCTCAAATAAATTAACAATAATTTTTTTTTTTAAAAAAAAAACCCTCCAAAAGAAAGTCACACAGAGAGAAATACACTGCTGCTTGACGAAGCTTGAATTATTTCTAAGAGGTTCTGCTCATCCTCCTCTAAAACACAGGAAATGTGTGTCCATAAATCAGTGCACTGACACAGATGAAGACCTTTAAAGGTACAATAGTAAACCATTCTTCCCTTTGACAAGCCTTTTCCGAGGCCAAGACTTGCAAAAGCCTCAGTCATTTTCCTGGCTGGAACTAGATCCTCCAGCAAAATTTCCCTTCCTACATCTTTCCCTTTCTACATCTTAGCTCTCCGAAGGCAGAATTTAAAACTATAACAGGTATCACGAGCGAGGAAGCAGTGGCTTCCCACATAGAGTTGGACTCTACCTCCCATCATTCCTTGTTGTTGTTTAGTCGTTTAGTCATGCCTGACTCTTCGTGACCCCGTGGACCAGAGCACGCCAGGCACTCCTGTCTTCCACTGCCTCCCGCAGTTTGGTCAAACTCATGCTGGTAGCTTCGAGAACACTGTCCAACCATCTCATCCTCTGTCGTCCCCTTCTCCTTGTGCCCTCCATCTTTCCCAACATCAGGATCTTTTCCAGGGAGTCTTCTCTTCTCATGAGGTGGCCAAAGTATTGGATCCTCAGCTTCACAATCTGTCCTTCCAGTGAGCACTCAGGGCTGATTTCCTTAAGAATGGATAGGTTTGTTCTTCTTGCAGTCCATGGGACTCTCAAGAGTCTCCCCCAGCACCATAATTCAAAAGCATCAATTCTTCGGCAATCAGCCTTCTTTATGGTCCAGCTCTCACTTCCATACATCACTACTGGGAAAACCATAGCTTTCACTATATGGACCTTTGTTGGCAAGGTGATGTCTCTACTTTTTAAGATATTGTCTAGGTTTGTCATTGCTTTTCTCCTAAGAAGCAGGCTATCTTAGGTAGTTTAATTAAGGATTGTGAGAGTTGGAGCCCAACAGAGATTGCCATACCCCCTGTATGCCCACTCAACTGCCTCTATTGACAGAACTGGCACTGTTAAGGTGCCACTTAATACCCATTCTGCATTTGTAAGGATTTGATATTTTAGCGTAGCAGCACTTATGCTTTGGAACTCCCTGCCTATGGATATCCGGTAGGAGACAGACAGATACAAACAACAACACTGTAATCTTTTCCAGTGCCTGCTTAAATCATTCTTGTTTATACAAGGCCACCCAGATGTTTAGAAAGTTAGTATGAGTTTTAATCTGGTTTTTATTTTATTTTAACTTTTTGAAAGTTTTAAATTATGGCTGTAATTTTTTCTTATTAATTTTTTCATTTTTGTAAACCACCAAGAGTTGCTTTTTTATAATCAAGAAGTACTGTCTAAATTTTATGGAATGAATAAATGACAACATCTGGAGGGCTGAGTATTTCCCATTCCGGAGATCAGAGCATTTGAATCCTTTTCCCCAAATGGCAGCAGTTGAGACACCACTCCCATCAGGCACCTCTCTCCTTCAACTGTCATCTGACAGCAGCTATTCCATCAGGCTTGCTCCAAGAGAAGCAGGACCACTCTATCAGTTATGCCAGCAACTTTTGGGTCCCCTTGCTCCTTGAACCTCTTCCTTTCCAGATCACCATTGTAAGAACTTTGTAACCAAGAACTAATTCCTGGCCTTTCTAATCCCCTCTTCTAGTCCCTCTTCTTTTTGTGTCATGCATTTCATACTGTAAGCATGAGGGCAATGATTGTTCCCACCACCAGTGGAAGAGTGTAGTAAAAAGGCTTCAGCTGAATAGTAAATAAATGGCCCCTGACACGATCCCCCTCAACAACTGGCACTCTGAGGTAGAGTGCCTCTTAATTGGGAGGCTCTGTTTTGCTAAAATGACCGGCAACCACTGAAAACCTCTCCTTCTCTATGAATTTGTCTAATTCCATTGTGAAGCCGAAAGCCATTCCCACATATAACACGAAATTCCATTAATTTCATCCCATTGTGACTGAAGCATGTTTTTGTTGAATCAAGGAATGAATGAATGAAAGAAGGATAATTCATGGATGCCAAGATCCAAGTTTGGGACAAGTACTCTTTGGTGAGAAAACTCCAGCAGATTTAAATTAGCAAAATATGCAATCAAAGTAATGCATGAAAATATGGGCTGTTAGACTTTTAAGATACGCCCTTGTGGGATTTTCCTTTTTGGCGATTTTCCTTCTGTCTTTTCTCAGCATAGGAAAAGACCACAAGTTTAATGAGTTAAAAGTGGTTTACTTACAAACTCTCCAAAGGTCAGGTTCATGTGCTTTTCCATACATCAGTCAGAAAGGCTGCACAGGCAGTAAAACTTACTTTAGTTGCAAAGTGGTGAAACTTCTTAAATTATTGGTTTAGGAACTCAAGAGTGGCTTGTAAGAGCCATGTGAAGCAACCATCTTAGCTTCTTTACAATATGAGTTTACCAAGTTGACTAAGGGAGAGCAATAGGCTTGATTACCCATTTCCTCACAAGGTTAAGGGGCAGGATCTCACTAAACCTGGCAGGACAGCTTACTCTGCCATCTTAACCCTTCATGCATTAATTAGACTTAATCATGTTGGTTAGATGAGACTGGTTATATCACAATTTTTGGTTATGTCTGCCAGCCAATTGGACCCTGAGCAATTTTACTGAAGAGAGAGGGAATAATTTTATCCTCAACACAAAAAATATTGTATGGTTGTTGCTGTTTGTTTCTGTCCCTCTATATCAGACATATATCGGATGCGGGTGGTGCTGTGGTCTAAACCACAGAGCCTAGGGCTTGCTGATCAGAAGGTCGTGGTTCAAATCCCCGCAACAGGGTGAGCTCCCGTTGCTCGGTCCCAGCTCCTGCCAACCTAGCAGTTCGAAAGCACCTCAAAGTGCAAGTAGAGAAATAGGTATTGCTCCAGCAGGAAGGTTCACCAGAAGCAGCTTAGTCATGCTGGCCACATGACCAGGAAGCTGTAGGCCGGCTCCCTCGGCCAATAAAGCGAGATGAGCGCCGCAACCCCAGAGTCGTCTGCAACTGGACCTAATGGTCAGGGGTCCCTTTACCTTTACCTTTTATATCGGACATAGAAACTTAAACCCCCCCCCCCGGGACAAATGGTCCTCCATATCTGGCCTTTAGGCCCGTCTCCTGACCACACATCTCATCCTACTAGCCCTGCTCTTCACCTCTCTCAATGGGCAAGGGGTTTGTATAAGCCTGAGGGCTGCATTCTTTCCCAAGCAATCTTTCTGGGGACACATGCCAATGGTGGGCAGTGAAGGGCAAAATTGGGTGCAGCAGTACATCCAGATAAAACAAGAGGCATGATCAGAGCTAAAGGATACCTTCCAACCAGGCAAAAACACGCAAGGAGGATGGCAAAGCAGGACAGGTGGTGAACATAGCTGGGGAGAGACCTGAGGACCCGATAGAGAGACTGTATTTCACAATCAGAACTGAGGTTCCCTGCCCCTGTTTTAGGGAGTCTTTTGGCAATGTGACAACAGTAGATCCTTCCCCTCTGGGCCCAATTCACAGAAATGCACAGAGAGAAGTGTAGGGAGCAACTCCATTTCCTGACTCTTGTCGTTGTTTGGATGCTCAGAGAGAGCAGGTGGGCAGGCAGTGAAAGCGAGGAGGAAGAAGAGGAACTGCAGGACTAGGAGGCTACAGAGAGCAGTCCTGGGCCCCATGCAAGGCCTTGGCATCTTCCCTACAATGCCAGCCAAAGACACCAGCCCTAATAACGGGCGAAATGGACCAACAGGACAACACGGCAGAAAGCAGCTTCCATATGTAAATGTCAATGCTGAAATTCAAGCCCAGGTCTATTCACTGGGCCACATACTATTTCTTGTCGTTTTGTGAAATGATGGGTTTTCCAGCACTCACTATCTCTATATATTATTTCTGCAGAGGCGCCAGATGGATAATTGCAGGCCCTCGGTGCCTAATCTTCTCTCCAGGACACCGACAGGTTTCTGAGCCAACAAAACTTAATTGAACTTTCCGTTCCAGCTGAGAAAGGTTACGGATCTGCCGAGTGCAAACGGAAGGTAGGATGAAAAGGTCAGAGGCACCGTGCTTTTTCTTTGGTAATGGATTGACCAGAGGCATGTTTTTTTATCTTCCTCATCACCACTGGACTGTAAAACTTAATTAGCAAAGTAACTTCTCTTCCCCTAGTCTGAAGGGATGTGTGTGGGTGATGATTACACATAGATCACATTTTATGAATGTGTCATGTTTGCATTGGAGGCCAGCAGCTGGTGTGAGGGACTTCTCTTCTGCTTATTCCATGACAGGTTGTGCAAGGCAAATAGGACAAACTTGAGGTGATGGAGCTGGTGATAGAATAAGCTGATGCATCACCCAATGAAGCTAGCAAGGCTGCCTTTGTATTCTATTAAGGCTAGGTCAGTTCAGGATGTAGAACAGCTCATGGGTGATGGAAGGTCACAGCCGTAAAGGGAGAGGGGAAGTTGTGCTTATTGACAGGCAATGAGGATGTATTCAGCTAAGCATTAATCAAAGTAGACCCACTGAAATTGATGGGCATGGCTAACTTAGGTGCATTAATTTCAATGAGTCTACTCTGAGTAGAACTTATTTGTATACAACCCAGTATAGTTTGGTGCTTAGAGTGCTGAACTTAAGACTTGGAAGACCCAGGTTCAAATCCACACTTGGCCATGAAGCTCACTAGATGACCTTGAGCTCATCACTTTCCATCAGCATAACCTACCTCAGAAGGGACCGTGCAGGTCATCTAGCCCAATCCCATACATTGCAGGAATCTTTTGGCCAACATGGGGCTTGAACCCACAACCCTGAGTTTAAGAGTCTCATGCTCTACCAGTTGAGCTATAGTTACATCATGAACCAGCTAGATGGTAGCACCTTCAAAGCATTGTTCAATGCTCTATGGACAATGCTTTGCAAACCAGGATGATTGCTCATGGGGGCATGCGGGGGGGGGGGGGAGAAAATACAACAGCATTTTATTTTCAGTAGTGCCCAATACATTGAAATTTGTAATTTTACAAAAGAGCTGCCAGGCGTCATTGTTTAAATTGGTAGATTAATCAATAAATGCTTTAGTTGATTTACTTACTTTTGAGAGGCTGTTTACTTTTTAAAATCCAACATCAGCAATACAGCAGTTTTTACCCAGGAAACACAAGTTTCTACATTAAACTGTTGCACTGTTCTCTGACTCCCATGGGTTCAACCAAGGTCTGCTGGCAGAGCCACCTGCACTTGTAAAGGCTCCTCCCTGTGATCAGGACCATTGGAATGGCTGATTTTATGTGTATTGCACAAGGGTTGGCATGTGGTGAGTTCATGTTCTGAAATGGATTCACCCGATCTGCACCAATGTTTGGTTTAGACTTGGATCTACTTTGCCACTTGTGCTTCAACTGGATTCCTTTATGGGATGGTCCAGGAGCTCCCTAACTTGGTATTCCCCACCTTTTACACATACTAGGCTCTATGGCAGGTAGCATAGGCTGCTTCTGCCACATATGTTGAAAAGTTTACTGTGATTTCCCCCTGGGAGTGATATGCTGTGACTGTCAGGAACTGGTCCTATACTCGAGTTGGACCCTGGCAGAGACACATGCCTGACTGGCATGTTCCCTCCCTCCTGGTCGATCGTTCAGGAGCTTCAAAAGCTTTCTTCAGCCCGAACATCACAGAAACCGATGCCAACAGACATTAGCACACTTAGGGATCTGCAGAGTCTTCGCAGCTTGCATAACACACCTCAGCAACTCAGCATTTTGGCTAATCTACTTTATTTACATATAAACACACACAGAGTACTGCAACATGGCTCCCTCTCTCTCTAGCATCAGACAGCAAAGAGGAAAAGAACAAAGGACAATAGCCCCACTTCACGGAACACAGTAACACAAACATCCTGTCTCCGTCACTTCCCACTCTGTGGAGTCAAAACATACACCGTCATGTGAAAGACAACAATCCCATGACTGCAATCACAGAGCAGGAATTCTAACAGTGACAACATGCCATCAGCTCAGAGAGATTCTCTGGCAAAACCACGGCTGTTCAGTGGCAGTGCTCCCTTATAATACTAGGAGCTGATTTGACTCTTTGGAAGCAGTGTTTCAGTATGTCTCTGATACAGGACTGGCCCACTCATGAGGAAGTATAGGCAACCACTTCAGACAGAGGATAGCTCAGCTGGTTAGAGTCTAGTGCTGATAATACCAAGGTTGTAGGTTTGATCCCCGTAAGGGACAGCTGCATATTTCTGCATTGCAGGGAGTTGAACTAGATGATTCTCAGGGTCCCTTCCAACTTTACAATTCCATGATCCCTATTCAGATATTTATTTTCCCACTGTTCTTGTTGTAGATCTTCACTCACCCCTTCTTTCCTGGCATGGAGGGAGGTGGCATTTTGTTGTTCATTCCAGGTGTCTTGGACTAGCCCTGTTCTGAAACACCAAATGAAAGACACCAGAGAACACCTTAGTAACTGCGAAGTGAAGATAAAGACATTGGAGGCATTGTGCAGACCTATCTGCAGCACATTAAACAACACAAAAAGTCAATCAAAGAGTCATTTATCCATCACACTATTAACTTAAGAACTTCTGGACTCCCAGATCCTTTCAGCCAACAAGAGGGTAATCAGGGAAGCTGTGCAGAAGGCATCCATGGCAAAGCAAGAAAATGTAACCTTTCAACTCCTGCAATAATCCCTACACCAAGCTCAGTAGATTTAGGTCACTGGAAGTGAATTGGCTAAAAGAGGATTTCACAAAGCAAGGGCTGAGCTACTGGGACAGAAAGCTTTTTATTTTTTCCATTCCAGAATTTGTAAGTTCAAGGCTGAGCTGAGATTGCAAAGAGGGGGCAAAAACAAAAACAAAAGTCTGAGAAGAGAGTTTAGGGATACCCAAAGCATACTTGCACTTTTCAGAACCTGTGTTGATTAGTACCTTTGAAAACTAAGAGAAAGAGAGATTCCCTTCTTGTTGGCTATATGACATCATGGTGCCTTAGACAAATTTTCCTGGCTCTCTGATTGGTTGCCTAGCAGCAGCAACAACAACAACAACAACAAAGTCAAAGGAGGGTGGGAAGTTCTGTTCTCATTCTAAATGAGATAACATTTCCACTAAATTACACAATTGCACCAAAGACTGCTGGAATTGGAAATGTGTATTACACACATGTGGGTCTTGAGATACACAGTTAATTTTCAGACATGACAGAGTCATAAGGCTTATGTTAAATATTAAAAAGTATTCTAGGTTGGCCATGAAATAGATGATAGATAGAGATAGATAAAGATAGATAGAGATAGATAGATAGATGATAGATAGATAGATAGATAGATAGATAGATAGATAGATAGATAGATAGAGATAGATAGATGATAGATAGATAGACAGATGATAGATAGATGATAGATAGATAGATAGATGATGATAGATAGATGATAGATAGATAGATGATAGAGATAGATTGATGATAGATGATAGATAGATAGATAGATAGATGATAGATAGATAGATAGATATAACATTTTTTTCTGACACTTCCCCTACATACTTCATAAATCTTAAGAATTACCAGCAAACTTTAGCATTCACTGAGCAGATGCTAATTTTCTTTACAAAGCACGTATACCTAGGAAATATTATTTGCCCACCCACTATTCCTAAAAAGAGCTTTAATAATTTACCTTTCATCAACCTTACCAATTCATTATCAGAGATAAGCCAGAGCTTCCATCTTAGTGATATCACCAAAGTTCATAATTGCTTTGTTTTGAACACAACCTGATTACAAATCAAACTGAGATGATGATTTGATGCAGAAGCAAAAAAAATAAAAAAGGCTAATATAATTCTAGTCTGCATCAACAGACATACAGTGTCCAGAGAAGTAATAGTACTGTTCTGTTCTGCCTCCAACAGGCCCCACCTGAAGGATTGTGTCCAGTTCTGGGCACCAGTTTTAGAAGGATATTGACAAGCTGGAATGCGTGCAGAAGAAGGAGACCAATATGGTCAAGGGTCTGGAAACAAAGCTTTATGAGGGACGGTTGAGGGAGTTCCTGGAGAAGACTGAGAGGCAACATGGCAGCCATCTTCAAATATCTGAAAGACTATCATGTGGTAGATGGAGCAAGCTTGTTTTTTCCTGCTTTGGAGGGTAGGACCCAAATCAATTGATTCAAATTATAAGAAAGAAAATTCCAGCTAAACATTAGGAATATTTTTCTGATAGTAAGAGCTTGTGTGAAGTGTCTGAAGGATCTGTGGGTTGTATCCAGATCAAGCCCTACTCAGAGTTGACCCATTGAGATGATCCAACCTAAGTTAAACATGTATTTTAATTTCACAGATCTTTATCAATTTCCTAACTGGGGGAAAATCCATTTTTTAAAAAGTGCTGCTACCAGGGCTACAGAGTGCTTTAATTAACTTTAATCACACAAACCTATATTCCCCAAGATATGCTTTGATTCCGTCTTGCAAAATAATGTCTGTCTGGAGGTGCCCATTGTGGCATTCCACAACCACATGGGAGTTAGAGGAACTGTTGCTGGCCTGGAAGTAGTTGCACAGAGGGCTTCACACATCTGTGAATGTGCAAAAGGCTTTTCACAAATTTTACAAACACTCACTCCATAGCCCCTTTCTCTACCCCTATGATATACTTTAAATTTCACCACTTGCACTTTAGATGTGCCTTTAATGGTATGAAGTTGACACTATCATGTGTGATTGGGGTTTAATATACAAACAAGTTCTGGAGTATGTCATCTGAATGGAGCCTGTGCCTCTCCCAAATATGTTGTTGTTGTTGTTGTTGATGATGATGATGATGATACCCAGCCTTCACCATAAGGTTCCAGGGCAGCTTACAGCAATGCAAAGATACAGTTATAACAATTTGCAGGGTGGGTCCTAACATACGTCCATAGGTCTAAAAAGGTTGACAACCCCTAGCACCAAACGAAAGCATCAAATGTTGGGTTGCTGTGGTTGTGTGTGTGTGTGTGTTTAGTTTTGCCTCTTAAAACAAGGAAATAGTTTGAGGCTATGTTTTAATTAAAATGAATATCTGTGCTATCTTAATGTTATTGCCAGTTAAGTGTAGCGGGGTGATTTAGCGTTCTATAACACAATTATGCACCAGTAATGAAGCTCCCTAGAATTATCCTCAGAATTTAGAATGCAGAAGGGAGCTGTAGCTTTCATTTGTATCTGTATTACAGTCTTTTATTGTTGCAGTATTTTCTATTTGCCTCCAAGATTAACTCAATCGTATTTAAGTCTCTAGTTACATTAGCCAGAAATCCAGTACAGAGGGCTGCTAGAAGCATTCTCCCCTCCTTGAAAAGCTTTTCACTTTCCTTTTTCATATATAAGATGTAACTCCATCTCTGCTATGGCTATCATGGGGTGAAGGAAACATGCTCTCAGTCTGCATTTTAGAGCAAACAGACTTAATTTGTCAGTCCCACTCTTATATGCGGAAAGCGATGCAGCTCTCAGTCAAATTATTGCTCTGCAGTTTCAGTTTTTGTTTTCTTTAAAAATGTGCACCTATGTATTTTAGGTGGAAACACACTTTAAAAGCACGGAAGAATGCATATTTTAGGGGGAGAATGCACACAAAGGGTGTGCTTCATGCATGCTGAGCTGAAGGCAAAATTGCAATTTAAATGTGAGTTTTGCATGATTAGGGAAAAAATTGCAAAAAGAAAAGAAAGACAGGGGACAGTTATGATTGAGTACATGCAGATCTGATGTGAAATGGAAGTGGGTTGTCCCATCCATCACTCATACAGATTTAACAAAATTGTAGGGTCTACCCTAAAACACAA